ACACACATCTGATTATATTCCCAAGTCCACACCCATCTCATCCTTCCTCACTGTCATTCTCTCTTGGCCTTACGAAGCCGCAGCTGGTGCTAATGACCTTCAGGGTCACTGGACAGCAATTTATTTCCTTTTTTTTTCTTAAAAGTAAATGTTAATATCACAAGATCACTTTCTAAAATGCCCCTGGGTGAGTTTCCTCTCTGACTTTATTCTCTCTCATTTTCAACTTCCCTTTTTTCCCCTTTCTCCATGTCAAGTTGTCAGGATGACTTTGATCTCGGAGACATGCTTCTCCTTCCCTGACTCTGACAGAGCTCCCACCTGCCACTGGGAGACAATTCCACAGAAACCCATTAATTCTTTCAAGTCTAAGATCAGTCCCTGTGCTCTGTCCACAGGAGCAAGGAGGGTCCCCAGCTCAAAAGATAGATGTAACTCAAAAGAAAAGTGTAAGTGTGCACACATATCAGTGAGTCCCTAAAACCTAAAGCAGTTTATCTTCATTCAACCCAAAGATCACAGTTTCCCAGACTTTGTTTTGAGAAAACCTCTGGAAACCAACTTTTGTATCAAACTAAAAACATACAGCAAATAGAGATCTATGAGTTATTCAAAACAGTAGCTGCACACTTGAGCTGTGGCCCAATTACTTCCAGTTGATAAGAACTGCATTTCAAACAAAAAGATAATTTCGGCTTAGGGAAGCCCTTTGGTTACAGGAAAATAAAACAACTCACAGGGAAATTTCTCTTTTCACCTCCCATTTTCATAAACATTATATATAATTCTGGGTAATAAAAACGTGAAGTTTGGGGGCTTCCCTGGTGGCGCAGTGGTTGAGAGTCCGCCTGCCAATGCAGGGGACACGGGTTCATGCCGCAGTCCGGGAAGATCCCACATGCTGCGGAGCAGCTGCGTCTGTGAGCCACGGCCACTGAGCCTGCGCATCTGGAGCCTGCGCGTCTGGAGCCTGTGCTCTGCAATGGGAGAGGCTGCAACAGCAAGAGGCCCGCGTACCGCAAAAAACAAACAAACAAACAAACAAACAAACAAAAAAGACGTGAAGTTTAATCAATAGCAAACAAACATTTTGGCAGGAAACTGAAAATGGTTTATTGGAGAGAAACAAACAAAAGGGCACTATCCATTCGACAGCCAAACTGGTGCCAATTTTTCTTTGTACCTTTGTTTTTACCTCTCCTCCACCCCAACACATCTGTTCCAAAGGACACATGAGGACAAGAGAGAAAATAAAGAGAGATGGACAGAGAACTAAAGAACTGGATGACTGCCTTACAAATAAAAAAACCTCTATTTGTAAATTATTTACTTTGGGGGAAAATTCATTTCATTTAAAATGTTAATAGATGGGAAGAGCTCTGAGTTCTATAGAATAAAAGCAACTAAGTTAAAACATCTCTCAAAATAAACAAGAAAGGGGAAACATCCATCACATCCCTGCCCTTTCCATCTTCCAAGAAGTAGCAATCTTAGACCCTTGGAGGGGGAACCATAATTTTTATTTGAAAACCTCTCAGAGCGGTCCTTTTGTATTCCTCTTTCTTTCTTCACAGATCACAGCAGCAATTTTCTTTTATCTCAGCTATTTATAGTTTTCTTTTCTCAAAACCTTGGCCAGAAAGAAACTGGGCAAAAAGCATTTCTTTCAAAAGCCACGTCATTTTGTGGCACTCTTTAAAACTATTAACTATGATCAAAAAAAACAAAAAAAATACATATAGCCCCCAAAATTGTTCAACTCATTTTTTGCCACTTGCTCTATTCTACCCAAAGACATGAAAGCCAAATAAACATTCTCCTCCTGCCTCCTGGCTGGAGATGTGGGAAGAAGCCCCATTCAAACACTATCTATCCTATTCAGAAATGAAAATGCAGCAGCAATGGAAGACACTTGGTATAATGGGATTGGCACAAATCTCAGTCCTGTTTCCTATGTCTCAGACGTATCACAGAAGCCTCAACCATCTCTGGAGAGACTGGGGTGTGTAGACTCAAGATTTAGAGACCTGTCAGCCACCAACAACCCCCTGGCATATAGTCATTTCTTTTGTGCCCATAGAAGAGTGGTTAAAAGCATGATTTGTAGTCAGACATAATATGACTCCCAATTCTGGCTCTACCTCTTGATAATTTTGTGACCTTGGGAAAAATACTTGGCTGCTCTCAGCCTCAGGTGCCTTATTGATAAAACAGGGATAATTTAAACCTTAGCAAATAGATAAGGCTTGACACATTGTGACCACTTGAAGCACAGACAGTGCTTATTCCCTGCAATACTGCCTCATTCTGGGCTTGTACACAAGAAGATGACACTTCACAAGTTACTCTTAAGTGGGACCATGTGATTAAGTTCTGGACAATGTGATGTGGGCAGAGGTAATTTAAGTCACATCCAGACATAGCCATAAAAGTTCTCCCTTTCTCCAGATCTCTTCGTGGCAATCCTTGAAGTCAGGTATAGGCCTGAGCCCCTGTCAGCTTAGATACCTGAGGAACAGAGCTCCAACCTGCACTGGATACAGAGCATGGGAGAAATCAAGCTTTTTGTGTTAAGTTATTGAGATTCAGAGGTTAATCTGTTACTGCAGCGTAATCAAGCCTATCCTGACTAACCCTCGCTGAGTCACTTCAGGTCCTCCAAAAAGCAGATGCCAAGACAGTTAGAAGTGCAAGACATTTATTGGAGGGACACCTTGTGATAGATAAAGAGGAGAGGGTGCAGAAGTAAGCAGGGTGAGCCTTCAGACTACGATGCAGGTCAGATCTAACACCCACGGAAGAGGGAAGGAAGGAGGGAAGGAAGGGAGGGAGGGAGGAGGGAACAAAGGGAGGAGGGAAGGAAGGCAGGCAGGAAGGAAGGAAGGGAGGGAGGGAGGGAGGGAGGGAGGGAGGAGGGAAGGAAGGAAGGAAGGTAATGTTGAAAGGAACTAATCCTTAACATAGTGGGCTACGTCATTCAGACTGAGGTTACCCCCCTTACATACCTAAAGTCATAATTTCAGGGCTGGACAGTGAGAGAAGTTTGTATGCTCCAGATTGCCTCAGATTACTTTAAAAAGAAAGTGCAATGACAGTTTCCATCTCTTCATTCTGAGAAGCTCTGTGCAGCTCTCTTGAGGTTTTAGATTTGCTGCATTAGGTTCGGGAAGATGGCATAAAATCAGAGACAAGAAGAGGGAAGATGAAGAAACAGGATAAAATGGCAGAACACAGACTAGGAGAGTAAGGAAGGCTACAGGGTACTCCAAGGGCTTAGAGTCCTGATCAGATGTGCAGGGGGTATTTGGCAGGTGCTTAGATGCCCTGTAACATGTGACTTTTTTGAAAGACTTCAGTCCAAACCTCCAACCCAGAATAGCTGTGTGACCTTAGACAATTCACTTAACCTCTCTAGCACTAAGGAGTACATTCCATGAAGCTCAGGATCATGTCTGCCTTGTTTGTACTCTGCCCCAGTGCTCAGCATGGTTCTGGGAGCACGACTGACACTTAAGTTATGTCACAGTGAAGGTCTCAGAGTTCGAGTCAGACTGTCTGGATTTGAACCCTGGCTCTGACATTGACTAACTATGTGGTCTGAGGCAAGGTTACTTAAACTTTTTCTGCTGGCTTCTCCATCTTAAAGTGGTTACATAAATGGTAATTATTTCATAGGGTTGTTATGAAGATGGAGATGAAATAATTCAGCTAAGCACTTAGAACAGTGTCTGGCACATAGCATATACCCAATAAATGTTTGCTATTATTATAAGTACTGTTTGTTGAATGAGTGAATCTTTCTGACCTTCAGTTTTCTTACCTACAGAAGAAGACTGAACAGCTACCTTGTACATTTGTTCTGAGGATTAAATGAGATAATGTAGGTAAGACACCTTAGTTCATTGCCTGACACAAAGTTGGTCTCAAAAAGTGATAATTATTCCCCATTCTCCCAAAATTTAACCCAAGCATCACTCTGTATGGAATTATTCCCATCAAGGTTCTTGTTCAAGGCTGCCATAGGCCTTCCTAGGCTTGTACACAAGATGTTCCTCCAAATATCCTCTGGATATTCCTGAAATGCATTTCTGGGTCTCTGCAGTGAAGTCATTGGGAAGACCTAAGCCCCGAGCCAGGATGCTCTTGAGCTCAGGATCAGAGTCCCGTCCCCTTCACTATATCTACCAGCTACCCTGAGGTCTACACAGCCATCAGAACTTCCCTCTACCGCTCTCCCCTCACAGAGGGGCTGCTGGCTGTCACTAGCTCTTTTTCCCAAAGGATAAAAAAAAAGTCTCAGCAAACACATCTTTCTCCCTGGCTGAGGCCCTTCAATTGTTCTCTGCAGTTTCCACCTTTATAGATGCCCCAATCAAGCTGCCTTCTGTAATGCATTCTCCATCGGGTCTCTGCTTACAGCTGAAAAATTTTGTGATGCAGCTTCTAGGAAGAATATTATGCAAACTAATACTGCATTCTCTCTCTATTCTAAATCTTAATACAGGGACATGTTTCTAGAAGTTTAGAAGTCCCAAAGTCAATGGAGATCACAGCAATCAAAAGTACAGTCATCTGTTTTCCATTGCAGAGGATGCAAACCCTTGCCAATGCAGTGCTTCCATTATAGATGAGTTTAATGTTTCAGTGAATGCTAGAGGGAAAGAACAAGGATTAGACAAGATGTGTCTCAAATCACTGGCACCAAGGGTGACAGAGCATCGGGACCATCAACACAGCCTCTCTGGAAGGAAACCCCTTCCTCTCTTCTTATGGAAACCATGTTATACAAAAAAAAAAAAAAAAAAAAATCAGGACACACCATCTTACAGGTACAAACGCATTTCACAGGACAATGGGCCAGAATATGTGGAGTCTGAGTTGGATATTGATTAACCAGCCATGCAAAAAGCAGCCCCATTTCAGGGCCTGCCTGGTAGAAAAGGACACAATGAGAACCAGGCAGTGGGTCTGAGAGACAGGTAATAGCTGCTGCTCCTTACCTTTCATCCTTTTATTGATCAGCTACTTGATGGGTTTTCCCAGATATACGTCTTCAAAGAGGAATTTGAAGGATAACAGGCAGTAATTTCTCTCCTCTGAGTCTAATGAGGAGATGAACAAATAAAAAGAAAGATAAAATTTTAAATGATCAGGAAAGCAAGGCTTGTAAATGGGCATGGCCTATTTATACACATATGGGTGGGGGGACTAGGGGTGTGTCATTTGCTCTCCCTGACAGAACACCCTCCAAGGAGGCCAGTCTTTTCTATCATTAAATCCAGTGGGTATTATCAGCCCTCATTTTACTTGTCTTCCCAGCAGCTTCAAAAAGGCTGCAATCTAAAACGGTACTTTTTCTTCTTCACCATGCCAAAATGATTTTGTCCTTTTTCATGACTTTAAACACCATACGCCAATGAAAACCGGAAGTTACAGCCCAGTCCAGACTTCTCCCCTAAGCCCAGACTTATCTATCCCTTCACCTGGTGTCTCAAGGAAGGGCTACTCATGTTCAGTATATCCTACACTAAACTCATGATCTTCATATATGTTGCTTCCTACCACTCATTTCATTCTCCTTCTGCCTTCCACCCAGCTGCATGAAGCCACAAAACTTCCCTTGTCACTATGTAGATATGTACACCTATATATGTGTGTGATATTGCGATTTATAATGAGAACATATATTTGGTCTTCCTTCCCATTTCTGGCACAGAGCTCCTAAAACCCTTGGAACTGCCTAAGTGTTGAGAGTGATAAAGGTGTCTTTTGTTACGTTAATGAGGTGGCTTTTGGAAAGCACCTAAGGAAGAGGGCTAGTTGCTTGTGGAGACAACCAGGTAATTAGAAGGTTGAAACTTTTAGTCCCCTACCCCTCCCCCAACCTCCAGGAAGGGGTGGGAGGCTGGAGATATTGAATCAATCACCAACTGCCAGTGATTTAATCAACCATGCCTTTGTAATGAACCCTCCATAAAAACCCAAAAGGTCAGGGTTATTTCGGAGTGCTTCCAGGTTGGTGAACACATGGAGATTCAGGGAGAATGATGCTCTGGGAGAGGGCATGGAAGCTCTGTGCCCTTCCCCTTACCTTGCCCTAAGCATCTCTTCCATCTGGCTGTTCCTAAGTTATATCCTTTCATAATAAACTGGAAAAATCTAGTGGGTAAAATGTTTCTCTGAGTCTTGTGCGCTGCTTTAGCAAATTAACTGAACCCAAGGAACATCTGATTTATAGCCATTCCATCAGAAGCACAGGTAACAACCTGGACTTGTGATTGGCACCTGAAGTGGGCAGTCTTGTTGGACTGAGCCCTTAACCTGTGGAATCTGATGTTATCTCTGGGTAGAGAGTGTGAGAATTGAGTTGAATTATAGGACACCCAGTTGGCGTCAGAGAATTGCTTGGTGGTGTGGGAAACCACAAAAGACACACACACACACACACACACACACAGGAACTGGAACCAGAATCTTAGCATGTACATCTTGGTTTAATTTATATCCATTTCCCCTATTCCACTCACAAATGCATGGACTATGGGCTTTATATCAAGAGACTTGTGGGACTTCTCTGGTGGTGCAGTGGTTAAGAATTCACCTGCCAATGCAGGGGACACGGGTTCATCCCCTGTTCTGGGAAGATCCCACATGCCACGGAGCAACTAAGCCCGTGCACCACAACTACTGAGCCTGTGCTCTAGAGCCCGCATGCCACAACTACTGAGCCTGCATGCTGCACCTACTGAAGCCCGCACACCTAGAGCCTGTGCTCCACAACAAGAGAAGCCACTGCAATGAGAAGCCCGTGCACCACAACGAAGAGTAGCCCCCGCTTGCCGCAACTCACCCCCATGCGCAGCAACAAAGACCCAATGCAGCCAAAAAACAAAAATAATATATTTTTTTAAAAAGAGACTTGTTGGTGTAGCACAGTGCCAGATACATAGTAGTTCTCAATCAATAGTCAATGAATAACATAAGCAAATGAAATAATATATGCAAAACATGTGGCACATGTGTGCCACTATCAAACAGTTTTCTTCCTCTGGGCTCAGTGATCCACACTACAGGAAAAAAGCAGAAGCACGGGTGATATAAAACAATAAAAATCCCACAAATATTTATATCTGGTGCTGGAATATTCTTACCGAGAGAATTCCCTTCAAAGACAGCAATGAAGCAACACCATGACCATCTGCCTTTAGACCCCAAGTCTTGCTCCCCATATGTCCTGGGAAAAGACAGTTCTTTGCTTCCAAATCTAAGAAAATACAAGCAATGTCTCTGCCCTGGTTCTGATACAAATCCTTTTCTAACCTCCAGGCTTTCCATTGTTCTCTGATCTGTGTTCCCATCTACATAGGAGCCTTCAGAGTTCACAGACGCTTTGCAGAGAATACAATTACTGTATGTGATTGTTCACAAGCTAGACTTTGCATAGAGCCACTATGCAACCAAAAACGGGTAAAAGTATGTGAAAAATCTATGTAGTTAATATCTCCCTCACTGGTGAGAAATCATGTCTTCTGTGCCCTTTGTGTGTTGCCCAAGCACAGGCCCTAACCCAACCCAACAGTAGTTTAACTGTTTCATTCGCACTTGTCTGTATGCTGTAGCAACCTCTCAATAAACCTGGGAAAGATTCTTCCCCTGGCCACACTGCTATTACTCTTACCTGATTGTGACACAGACCATGAACTGGATTTTTCCTCAAGAGAGGAAGAAAATTCTTGGTTTCACTCAAGACTCTCCTTTTGCTTCAAAAGCAAAGTAAAGAATGAAAACAGAAACTAAAGATAACTTTTTCTATTCCCAATTCCCTTAAGCCCAGGCACCTGATACCCAAGTATGGTTCAGAGTTCATCCCACCCACAGACCTCCCATGCTCAGAGCTTTGCTGTGCTTTTGATGATTACTGACTGCAAAATAAATCTGGGAGGAGTGTGGTTCTTGTCCTTGGGGTGGTCTCACTGCCCCTTTATATGCACTGCCTTTCTCCTTCTATTGTGTGAAGCCACTGACCAGTATAAGCATTATTCACTCCTGCAACCCCCAGCCCCTGCAGTAGGCCACCAAATATTATTTCAGGTGGTCTGAGAGTCATGCAGGAGCTCCTACATGTCGTAAATGACACAGAAGAAACATGCTGAAACTACAAATGCCTGTTATTCACTAAACCAGGGATCTGGCCTCAAAAACTCACAGATGTTGTCACCCTCAGACAACATTTTTCTCCCATTTTTTTAGGCAAAGTAGATCTCTACTTTAACTCTACACATTCTTGCCTTCTACTTCTTTCCTTTATCTGTGGATGAAATATAATTCTTTGGTAAATTTAAGTTCATATTTAATGAGGATTCATAAATTCATACTTAAAGAGAATTAATGCTTTGTGGAAAGGAGTGCAGGTGAACAGAAGCCTGGATTTGGATCCCAACATTTAAATTCCAGGACTGGCTCTGACAATAACTTGCTAGGCTAACTGGGCAAATCTCTCAACAAGTTTGAGTTTAATTAATCTCACCTTACAACATGGAAATAAGACTTTCCCTTCCCCACCTCCCATGTATATTGTGAGGATCAATGGGAAAACAGCAATAAAATTACACTGGAATAAAGGCAGTATGTAAATCCAAGGTTATATGCCTCACTCATCATGATCACGATCATCATCGTCATCGTCATTATCTTTACTCCATTTATTGCCTTAAAAATAAGTGGAGTACTGCTGCCCCCTAATGGCAGAGCTGAATGAACTTGAAGTTTTCTTAAAGTTGCACAGTCCGGTTTTACATTGCTTCAATTTGTATTCACCCAGACTAAAGTCAGAAAATGTGCAGGCTCCAAAAAAAAAAGAAAAAAAAATTAAACAGAAATGATTGCACTTGTTATACTTGGCAAATGGAATTCAGCCCCAACCTTGAATAAATGGGGCAGAAATGAGCCCAAGGTCTAGATTAAAGGGAAGGACCACCAGGTGGTCTTATTCATTTTTTATTAGTCCAAATGTGTTTTGCATCTAACAAACCATGCTCCTATTAACTGCCAGACATAAAATAAAAACATTTAGGGCAAGCTGTGGACTGACTGTCAGAATAGGCAGGAACATGGTGCTTTAAAACTCTTGAGACAGAAAACTGGGTCTGTCGGTGTAAGAAGTTGTTAGCAGCAAGTGGTTGCAGTAATTGAGTGGATGGCCTGGCAGAACATCTTTCTGAGGAGTTCCAGACTCTACTGTCACTCCCAAAGGGGCAAGAACTTCTCCTCCCAGACTTTATGAAGAGACAAATGTTCTGACTCCTCTTTGGTCCCTTCTCAAAACATTCTAGTTAGACGTTCCATAGGGCAATAAAAGCTAATAACCAGACAATTGCACTTTTCATTTCCATGGTAACTTCCCTATGGAGGTATTCCAAAGTTCTTAGAAAAACAGGGAGTGCTGATTGAGCTACATCCAGGAAATGAGGCGATGGCTTTATTTCAGGCCCAAAAGCAGAAAACTGTATCTGTCTGCAGAAAGTCAATGGAGCTCCAAGTGCAAGGAAAATGTGCCTCACATTTGGACAGAAATCAGTCTCGTCAAGACAGACAAGGGAGACTGCTTAACTCAGACTTTGCTCCACAAGTGAGGGAAGCCCAACCCAGCACCAGTAAGAGAATCCCTCTATCACAGTGTAACTTGGGATTTATGAAGATGGCAGAAGATTTTGGAGAATGACTAGATTTATTACCCTTTGAAACAAGAAGTAGGTATTTTTTATTATACATTAAACTAAGAATAAATTTTCAATACAATAGAAAGACTTAGTGAAAAATGAAAACCACACTAAAAGAAGAGACAGAAATATAAATTGTTAAATTGGAGGAATCAATAAGCAAGAAATATATTTTCCAGCTCTGTCAATGATTCAAAAGCAGCAGCTTCACCTTTCTCCAACATTCAGGCATAATTCTGGTCTGTACAACCAACTGGTCAGCAGCTCAGACAAGTCATCTTGGCTAGTCAGGAAGGTATTATTTTTCAGTTGAGTCTGGTAAGATTATCACAAGCATAGGATGCAAATAGAGTATACTGCACGTCTACTGTAAGGTTAGGAAG